TGTTTTTAAAATTAGACGACCGCATTACCAGTCGATTTCATTCGTAAAAATGACTTTTTCTCCTTCAAATCCTAGATCATCCAAAAGTGTTAAAATAAAATTGTCCGTCCGTCGCCCAGCAGACGCAAGGATTTTCTCCTTGCGTCGCACTGTTTGACAGGCCGACCGATGCAACCGTGTTGAAAAAAGGTAGCTCAAGTTTAGTTGGACAGGTGCGAGCCACACCTCTGAAAAAAGGTTTTCATCGAAATGATCCATCTGCAGGTTCACCTACAGATACCTTGTTACGACTTTTACTTCCTCTAAATGACCAAGTTTGTAAGAGTTTGAGCCGTCAGGGTGCCATCGCTGGCTCCCCGATGTACTCTCCCAAGTCCTCACTAAGCCATTCAATCGGTAGTAGCGACGGGCGGTGTGTACAAAGGGCAGGGACGTAGTCAACGCAAGCTGATGACTTGCGCTTACTAGGAATTCCTCGTTGAAGAGCAAAAATTACAAAGCTTACCTAGACCTGCTATGGTCAACTCTTCTGTAGATCGGCCTGATCCCTGAAACCTATGCTCCTTCCATATGAGCCAACAGCCTTCTTGCTACCTGCGCATTCAGGCCCATGACACCGGACATGTACTTAACTTGACACCCTCAGCAATTGCAAACAGGATTCCATATGAAGATTTTCACCACACGTCGGCACATGGTTTGGCCAAGCAACTACGCGTCTTTGGCTGCCTCGCGTGGGTCCACCTCCCCAAGAGGGACCATGCAGGCAAGCATGGCGCGAGAGCCATACCAGGAATTATGGTTGGCTACGATGACGAACACAAGGGTTGGAAATTCTATACCCCAGACCACACGCCGTCCATCCGGTGGAGTAATTCAGCTACATTCCACGAAGCTAAGGGTTGGCATGATCGGCCCAAAGTACAGAGCCCACTGCAGATTGGGTTTGAAAGTCTCGAGGCAGAAGGTGCCAGACTAGAGGCAGACGACCCTGAGCCTGAACTAGAAACAGAAGGGCTCGACACACAAGACTCATTCCCACGTGCACCCACTGCACAGCCCATCGATGCCACCGAAGACAACCGATCGGAGATCGCTGTTGAAGACATGATTGGAGAAGTAAACATGGCCATCCTGAACCTCACACCGATTTTGAAGGAAGCACTTGCCAGTGACGACGCACAGCAATGGCAAGGAGCCATACGCAAGGAGTTGGATGGGCTCGAGGCTATGGGGACTTGGGAGATCGTAGACGTACCGCCGGACACCAAACTCGTCGACTCCAAAATTGTCCTCCGCCTCAAGCTGGACGCCGATGGCATACCCGTCCGACACAAAGCAAGACTCGTCGCACGAGGTTTCACACAATGAGAGGGCATTGACTTCGAAGAAACCTTTGCACCGATGGCACCACATAGTGCGATAAGGGCCCTGTTATCACTGGCAGTGGAGCGCGATTGGGAGGTCCACCAGCTTGACATTACGATGGTGTATCTCAACGCTCAAGCATGTAATTTACATGAAACCGCCGGAAGGGGCTAAGGTGCCGAAGGGAAAAGCTTACCGAGTGATCAAGGGATTATATGGCCTCAAACAGTCAGGACGGGAATGGAACATGGAGTTCGATAAGTTCCTCCGGCGCTCAAATTTTCACAGACTTGATTGTGCGCCGTGCATCTACACCAGAGGGAAAGGGGATGACTTCGCAATAGTGATCATCTATGTTGACAACACATTAATTATATCCCCAAGGCTGAAAATGGTCGAGCGCATCAAGGAGGAAATAGGCAGGAAGTGGAAGATGGAGGAGGGTGGCGACGTGTCTCATTTCCTCGGAATCAAGATCTCCAGAGACCACGAAGCAAAGACTATGGATCTCAAGCAAACCAGCTACATCAAGCAACTACTGAACGAACACTTAGATAAGCGCAGAAGAAAATCCAGTGTACCGCTCCAAGACATCCCAGCTCCAGAGACAGCAGCAAGCATAGCCGAGCGAAAGGAATACCCACAGATCGTCGGCAAGCTCCTATGGCTCTCAAATGGAACACACCCAGATATCAGCCAAGCCGTGGGTGTCCTCGCACGCTACATGACGCAGCCGTCAAGGGAGCATTACAATGCAGTGCAGAAAGTACTCCAATATTTGGACTGCACCCAGGATGTCCACTTGCGATACGGTGGCGACAAGCAACAAGATTTTCTAATGGCGCATAGCGACGCGAATTGGGCGAGCGATGCCACAGCACAACGTAGGAGCTCGTCAGGCTCAGCGGTGTTTGTGCACGGAAACCTGGTAGCATGGAAATCAGCACTACAGCGCTGCACCGCCTTATCGGCGGTGGAAGCAGAATTTGTGGCAGCAACTGAAGCCGCACGAGAAGTCCTTTTCTTTGGACACCTCTTCAAAGCCATCGGGATTGACATCAGCATTCCCATAATCTTCTCAGACAACACAGGCACCATTCAGGTTAGCAGAGATCCCGCACAACATTGGAAGTTAAAGCACATCGACACCAAATATCATTTTATCAGAGACAACGTGCAAGATGGAAAGGTCAGAATCAAGTACATTGGCACTGCGGACAACTTGGCCAACATCTTTACCAAACCAGTAGGCAAAGAGGTATTACGGCGTGCACGACAGGGTCTGGGACTGACATCACAGCAAAGCGCAGCGGTTCAGCAGACTTCTGCCTTGCTGCTGAGGGAGACGTAACAACATAGGAATTCCGGCGAATGAAATTTTTTGCAGACGTCCTGTTCGCGCGCAAGTGGCGAAAGGACTTGGGGAGGTCTCCGAACTTGAGCCTGTACTTAACATATACCTTTTACACCGCAGCAAATCCCAAATTATCCTCAACTCATAACCATTGTCATAGCAACACAACTCCTACATGCAGTGGTGTCAAACCTCGAGCGTAGGCTGCATATGCTCCCACAAGCTTCGCATCCACCTCATCTCTGTTTGCACTTTGCATCGCTCCGGCCTTCCTGCACTTAATGCTCTGATCTAACACGTCGACCCTTGGAAATACTGAAGTATCCTCAACTCTCTGAAGTACTTTATCGAAAAAAGTCAAAAAAATGTCGGAAAAAAGGTGACTCCAAAATGCAGGCCCTGCATGGCCCCGCCCTTTTGGATGAACTCGGCGAGGAGCGTAGTTGAAGATGCACCGACATCGCCAACGCGTGACGTATTAAATAGGAGCACACAGGATCGGGGAATCGGGAAGGCATCGGGCGATGAGGAGGACAAGCAGAATGCGAAGCTAGTGGGAGCTAACACAGCCTATGCACGAGGATTGACGCCATGGTATGCAGGGAAAATGTTGATATGACAACGCTTATGAAAGAAGATACGTAGCACATTGGGCATGACTCGACAAAGTGAGCACAGCCAGGTGCCGAGAACATGTATATATGCCCCTAGCTTAGTTGTTACCTCCTTACACTTACAAAATCTAAGCCCTTTTATACATAGAGCATCAGACTAAGAGGAGTGCCTGACTGTGGCCTCCTGAGTGGTGTATCTAATTTTAACTAAGATACACCGGCATCGCCAAAGTATGATGTGTTAGATCAGAGTATTCAGGATCGGGGAATCGGGAAGACACCAAGCAACAAGGAAGATAAGATAGATGCAAAGCTAGTGGGGGCATATGCAGCCTATGCTCGAGGCTTGACACCATGGTATGCAAGGGGGTATGTTGATATGACAACGCTTATGAACGGGAGATATATGGCACATGGGCATGACTCGAAGAAGTAAGCATAGTCGGATGCCAAGGCATATATATATACTCCTGTTTAGTCGTCACCTCACTAAAATACAAGCCCTTTTGTGTAGATTCACCTGAAGAAGAGCGCCTGATTGTGGCCTCACGAGCGGTGTATCTAAATTCAACTATTCTGCAAGGTGGAGCAATTCGGACCCTGAAAAGGTCCATTTTGAGCTCTTTCTTCGTTGTTGTGATCAGAAAAGCAACCATCACTTACTCCACAACAGTCACTATGACCAGCTAGGAGCTTCAAGCTCTCAGCGGAATAAAGCCAACCCCATGGCTTCCGCAGAGTCAGGTCAGAACAACGAGAAGAAGACGGACAGCGAGGCACCGCTCAGAAGCATGTCGATTGCACGCTTCATCCCGCGCTTCACCAAGCCGCGTCTTCTGACCAGCAACATCCCGACCTACCGACATTCGTTCTCCTTGCCCGCTCAGGCAGCCAATGTGGAACTTGGAGAATCTAGCAAAGCCGAGTCGTCAAACGCAGAGCCACCTAGCAAGGTAGAATCACCCGAGGAGCCGGAAATCCCTAGCAACGCATCATACATCGAATGGAACAAGTTACTGCCGGTACCATCGAATCTACTCGACTCGTTTGAGGCGCTATGGGTCTCTAAGCGGAAATCACAGAGGGCGTCAACGGGGGGATCCGACTATCTTCAGGCCCGCAGCCCCGCCACCGGCACTTCTTCGATCGTATCAGCTACTCCGCCGCCGCGGCTGGTCTTCTTCGGCGAGCAACACCATCAGCCTGAAGTGATGAGGGCTCAACTACAGACTCTGCATGCACTTCATCAGCAATGCCAGTTCTCATCGAGTCCTCGGATCACAACGGACGGCAACTCGGCATCGGAGCAAGCCGAGACAACTTGCGCTCAGAAGCCAGCTTCAGCACGAACACCAGTCTATCGCCTCCATCTTGTTCTCGAGCACTTCTCAGTGCTAGATCAAGACATGCTCAACTCCTTCTCGCAGGGCAAGCTTGGCCCGGACGAGCTTGCAGAAACATATCAGGCCCAGAGTGAAGAATCATTTCATATCGGACAATACATGCCCCTACTGATGCTGGCAAAAGAGCTCAACGTGCCCATCTGGGGCGGCCTCCCGCCGAGGCAATGGGCAAGGCAAGTCTTCAGAGATGGAGTTGATGCTGTCAAGCCAGATGAAGAGAGACGTGTTGGTGCAGCAACGCAGACTAAGGCTTCTCTAACG